CTCAGCGAAAAGCGTCCGCTGACATACCTTTCGCCCGCTCCGCCTGCCTGGTGATATACAATGTGCATCTCCAATTCAGCGGCTCTTGCCATGCCGCGCTTCTCCCAGCAGCCCGGGAAGGCCTTCGAGCTGGAATTAGGCACGGACGCGTAGTGGTAGTTTAAAAGATTGTTTACTTACACCGAGATGGCAGTGGTGTAGGCTGGAAAGCTTGATTAAGTTGCAGTTACAGACAAACAACACAGACGGTCTCGTGGAGGTTGCTAGGCTCCACGGTGCAGAGCTCCGGATGCTCTGGGTGAACAGGCCACCAATGTAGAAATCGTAAATACGTCTTATATTAGTCGCGCTCGAAGACGGGAAGAGGTGGGCGGTGGATCAGGCCGCCACGCTCCTCTGGATCTCACACAGGGTTTCTATTACCCTGCCGTGTACCCAGAGTCCCCACGAGATGGATGTGGAGTCCTCTTCGGCTTGGGCGGAAACTGCTCAAGCCTTTTATATGGCTAACAGGCCAATCGCTAGCCGCCACGTGTGAATAATTTAGCACTAGCCAATCACGGGGAACGAATCTGCATACCGGTGGCGGGAACTCTTTTGCATCGTGCATTCCTCTTGCAACATGAGCAATGCACTCTGCAAAAGAAGCTGCAGAAAAGGCGGGAAACTGGTCCCTGCATCGGGGTTTCCTCTGCAACAGGAAACTCTCCCGTGCAATGAAGCTGCAACTTGGCGGGGATAATTCTGGTGCCGAAGCACGCACACAATCATGCCTTTTGGGTCATGACAACAGTGAACCACTGAGTGAAAGATCATGGGCTAAAAATGTGTTTTCTGAAACCTGTTTTGTTACATGCTTAATTACTAGTACAAAATCTTGCAGTAACTTTCCTGGCTTATACTTTTCTTTTGGCAGGGATGACCACATTTCAGCTTTGCTGACTGTGAGAGGAGATGCCAGCAGGGATATGAAGCAGACGATCATAGAAACTCTGGAACAAGGAGCCAACCAACCAAATCCAAATTATGTGCCAATTTTTAAAGAAATTACAGTCCCCACATTAAGTGTGCCAAAACTTCTTAAGTAGCTGACACTGGAAATGTCTTTTTTTTTCATTTGGGGTCAACATATTTGAAATGTTTAAGGGCAAATTTGTAAATGCCATTTCAAAGGGCATTTAGTATGACACTGTTAATTACTCAGACTATTATTTATAGGTATGTGTATCTTTTTGGTGCTGTTAGTTGTAATCAGAATCCTAATTGCAAGCGCAGAGATCGGGAGTATGGCTGATTGAAGAATGACATTTCTGATGGCCAGAGTGCTTTGTATTGACTTCTCGCTTGTTATAGCTCTAACAATTTTGCGGATTCTGTGAAATCCGGCATTGACCATGAAATCTGGGCAGTGCCCATGGAATCTGCAAAATCTCTGGGGTGGGTGAGGAAAAACATATTGAGAGCTGTGACAGCTTGCCAGGACAATGGAAGGGAGGGGGGCTGGCAAGATGGCCGCTGCCCCTCAATGCTAATTGGGTGCAAGCATTGCCTGTCATGTGGCTCCACCCCTTTCCAGTCAGTGGCAAGGGGTGGGGCTGAATGATGAACAGCCCTTACAGCCAATAAGTGACTAGAGGCAAGGCCCCATGACAGGCAGCTCCTGCAGCCAATCCGTGGCAAGGAGCAGGGCCACTGAGGGCCCTTGACCAATTGTGGGGGTTGGGGGGGGGCTGCACTCCACCCATAAAATGGCTGCCCAGGCCCATGTTCTACCTACAAAATTAGGTGGCAGCCCCCACAAATTAAGTAGGTCCATAGTTATAGCCGTATGCACCATCACCAAGTATATTTTGTCACAGGTTAATTCTGCATTGCACAATGCAGTGTTGTGTTTTAGAACAATTTCTGATTATCTCTACAAGCCAGCTCAGGTACCAGAACCAGTATCCCTACATGAGCACCAAGAAGCCAAGTAACTAGCCCCACCGGACTATGCATTAACAAGTGTATACTGCTTCCAACATCATAGCTGGTATGGTGAGAGTTACAGCTGCACTGCTTGGTGCCATGTAGATGCACCCTCACCACTTACCTAACCTCATGGTTTGTGTGTATATTTAATCTGATGTAAAATAGTATACGTTGCAGAAAGGTAAAATACAAAAATGTTTCCTAACTCATAAATTGACAAAAATTGCTAATAGCTAATTTTATTCCAGGTAAATAGAAAATTTGATAGAGGTACAGTGGTAATTTTTCATCAATTTGACTTTCATTTAGTTAATGAGCGCATAAAGCACTGCTGATAAAACATTAACCTTCAATAATACCGACTTTTGCACCTGTATAAATTCACTTTCTATAAATCTGAGTCTTAATTATTAAATTTTGAAAGAGCAATTTACATGGGGTGTACACTATTAATATTGTTTTGGTTCACAGGCATATTCTACAAACTTAAGATATGTAAAATAACACTGTTCAATTATAAATGTTTTCTTATTTCCATAAATCTATCATTAAAGGAGTACTTCACAGTAATATGCAGCGCAGTAAAGTATTTCAAGAACTATGTCTAATTTATTGTTAGAAGCCAACCAGTTAAATGCTAAAAAGATGTGTTAGTACAACATTAAGAATGCCTTATACAGCCCATGTCTAAATACATAGTATAACAGGTTCTCAAAGTATTTCTTGTTGGGAAAAGATACTGAGTAAATTCTCATAGGGCTAAAGTCTGGGCACTATTTGTAATTAGCATTTGGAAAAATGGAAGTGGATACAGATGCAGTAATAGGGTATGGATATAAATGCATTTAAAGCGCTCTGAATTCCAGAGACTATCAAATTTTAGCACCTGTAGCTCCCCCCCACTTGTCTTCTTTCTGTTCCTCCTCCCTCACTAGAGGACTTCAAAATGACTGTGAAGGCATGCAGTGGCACTGCTGTCCTGCTTTGCAGCAAACTAGCTGGAATCCCTGCATATCTGTCAGCCTCTGGTCTCTGGAGAATCCTAAAGACAGCCCAGTGCAGAAGAGAACACTTACTGGCTGCCTGCTTTGCTCCCCCTGACCATGGCGGGTCAGGGGGGATGTAATGTGGAGCAGAGAACTGTGGGATGCCAGAAGACGGCTGGAGTGTACGCACATTTCAGGAAGTGTTTTCAAAGATATTCCTTTTTTTGTGGGACAGAGGAGTTAGGACATGTTTGAAAAACTTTTTTGGCTTATATGTATCCTTGCTGTTTGGAGTGCTTTAAAGGCACTTGGAGCCTTTCAAACAGCATGTTTGTACCTCGCCTCAGATTAGTCCCTGCCATGTAGTTGTAGTTAAAGCTAGATTAGTATTATACCCAAGTACCAGTCAAATTGTGTTGAAAAAAATCCATCTGAAATTCTGGCCCAAATGGTGTGTAGGCATACATTGCTTGCATGTTGCGTGAATAAAAAATTGGTGAATAAAGGGGAGGCACATGGGCTGGTTAATTTCTGAGAACTTGCAGGGTCTGTGACTTCAAAGGCCTGATCCTACAAAACCCCTCATACCAAGTTCACTGATGCTTATTACAGAGATGTCATTGCCAAGTGAAATCAGTTGAAATTAGAGGTGCACCGATACATCGGTCCAATATATAGAAAACTGACTATATTGAAAATCGGTCTGCCGTGGCTGATAATTTGGCTGATAAATGCCCGTATGTACACGCAGCTGCAGCACAGCATGTAGGCAGCAACACAGCCTGGCAGCTTGAAGAGCTGCATGCAGCTGGTAAGTCTGTTGTGGTGGAAGGGGAGGGGGGAGGGAAGGGGCATGGGGGTGCAAATCAACGCCCCCTGCAGTGATGGAGGGAGTGGGGCTGATGTTGGGGTAGGTGCTGCCTAGCTGGGGCAGGACATGGGATGGAGCCACAGCTCGTCCAGGGGAAGGGGGAGCTCCTGCCACTGCACACACCCCGGGACGGCATGGGGGTCGTGTGCCCCCGGATTTGCATGGGGTAGAGTGGGCTGCAGCTGCAGGCTAAGGATTGGAGCCATGCCAGACTCTTCCTGGTTTGGGGGGGAGGCTGGGCCACACTGCTTGGGGCGGGTGATGCTGGGAGGGGGCTATGGGGGGCCTGCAGCAAAATTTGTAGTAGCCCAGCCCTGTGCAGATCTGGGGGCACATGCCTCCACTCCTGGGGTGTGCACAGTGGCGGGAGGG